GAAAGAAACAAGGCAGAGGGACATTCCAAAGAGGAACCATACAGGACAAAGACCAGAAGGACAAAAGTATAGCCAGTGCTAAGGGAGAGATAGAAAAAAGCGAAACAGAATAAAAAGTGTTCTATGGCCAAGCTAGCTGCAGAACTGAGATTTTCTTAACTAGGCCAGACAATCAGCCTCAGCATTACTTCGGAACTTTTACATTCTTGGGCCCACCCCCACACCTACTGGGTCAGTAATACTGGGGGTAGGTAATTGCTATCTGTATCCAGGTGAGCCGTTTAAAAAAGTGTGTGTGTTTCCCCAGCTGCACCTACCTGATCTTATGGTCGAAGGAGTTCCCACAGAATTTAGAGCATTCTATGTACAAAGATATAAGGCTGTCTTCTTTAGTGTTAAATTAAGACTTTCTGGTATGTCTGTGTGGTGGTTTGATCAGCTATATTTGACTGGTTTGTCATTAGAGCGGCACTACTAGGAGGTGTGGCCTTTTCAGAGTAGGTATGTGCTTGGTGGACAAACTGTGCTACAAGAGTTGCCATGGGGGAGGGCCTAGGTCCTGCCCCAAATGACTGGACAGATTTTGATGGTAGAAGGATCTTTTCTAATTTAAATAAAGTGTATAAAATCATTTCTATTTCAATAAAATGTATAAAATTGTTTCCAATTTAAATAAAATTTATGAAGAAAAAAAAGTGTGTTTGTGTGTGTGTGTGTGTGTGTGTGTGTGTGTGTGTGTGTGTGTGCTCGCCCACGTACACGCACCATGCCTCATGTGTACAGGTGGCGTATGTGTGAGGGTGCCCAAGAGGCCAGAAGAGGGTGTCAGATCCCCCTGTGTTAGAGTTACAGGAGATTGTGAGCTGCCAAGCACTCTTAGCCATAGAACATCAATCCAGCCCTGTATCTAGTTGACTCTAACCTAAGATTGAGTTGTTCTCTCAAAACATAGTGAAGGGTGTGAATAATATTGCATTGTGTATATGAGCCCATTTTTACAATTTTTGATTATTTTTATGGGTATTACCTGCTGTGTATGTATGTGCACCATGTGTGTGCCTGGTGCCCATGGGATCAGAAGAGGGTGTCAGGGCCTTTGATTCCCAGGATTCAGGAGGCAGAGGCAGGCAGATCTCTGAGTTCAAGGGCAATCTGATCTACAGAGAAGAGGGTGTCAGATCTCCTGGAACTTGAGTCACAGACACATCTGAACCGCCATACAGTACTGGAAATTGAATGGTCCTTTATAAGAACAGCAAGTACTCTTAATTGCTGAGCTCTCTCTCTGACCCTGAGAAGCCTGTTTTCTTTTCTTTTTTTCTTTTTTCTTTTGGTTTTTCAAGACAGGGTTTCTCTGTGGCTTTGGAGGCTGTCCTGGAACTAGCTCTTATAGACCAGGCAGGTCTGGAACTCACAGAGATCCGCCTTCCTCTGTCTCCCAAGTGGTGGGATTAAAGGCGTGCGCCCCCACTGCCCAAATGAGAAGCCCATTTTCTTTATCCATTCACCCAGCAATGGGCACCTAGGCTAATTCCATGAGATGAGTTGCCTTTGGTGGCCTGTGCTGCAGTGGATGTCCATGTACAGGGACCTGGAGATCACTGTGTTGATCAAAATAAGTTGAACTCAGAAAGACAAATACTGCATGTCAGGAGGTGACATGAGGACTAGAGAGGACCGTGGGTGGTGGTGAAGATGATCAAAGTGCACTGTGTGAAACATCTATGACACGGACTGTTTTCGTACAAATAATATATACTTTAAACGGGGTGGTGGTAGTGAAGTGGCAAGAAGTGAAACAGAGTCACTGAGACTATTTCTGTCATCCTGGTGAGACAATGATGAGGAAGCCAAACAACACTGGAACTTGAATAGTGAACAGCTGTGGATAGGAGGGCTGCTCAAGACAGAGGAGCCACCGTGCCACCAAGACTGTATTTTAACAAGCATGTATTTTACAGTGACTCATGTTTTCCTAGGAACAATTTCTAGTAGTGCTCCCTCCACTAGAAAATAGGTGCCTGAAGTTGACTCCTGGGGTCCTTTCCAGCTTAGCCACAAAGTAAACAAAGCTGCCAGGTGGCCTGCTGTGTCTTCTCCAGGGGTCTTAGGAGGTGGCATCCTGTCTGGTGGTAACACATAGGGTGTGTTGGCTTCTATCTCTCTTTATATTCACTGCCTTGAGTCTGCAAATAGTGAGTATCTTAATCTTGACCTCAGTGACTGTGTTTTAGACGCCTCAGGCCCTAATCAATTAAAATACAAACACTGTGATGGCTGAAGAAACTCCATTTTACAATAGGCATCCATCCTGGTACCCACTAGCCATTGTCTCTGACTCCAGTCCCTGGAAGATAAGTTACTAGTTGTCCTGACTCAGTAACCCCCATCCAGAAATGTACTGCCATTACTATCTACATGCTATGATATGACTAGCTGCTTTCTTGACTTCTGTGACCTGCTCATGCAGACATTCAAGGACTATTTTGAGGCCGCTGACCACTTAAGCTTGGCAGAGTGGAAGAGCTCTTGGCTTTCTTGTGCAGATACTCAGTCTTCTCATGGTTTTCATCTTTAAAGATCCTTCCTCGCCCTCACTTTGTGCAGTGATCTCAAGTTCACCTCACAGATTGCTGTCCTGCTAGCAACAGATTTAACAAATGTAACTAATTATAATCCTTACTGAGTCTGTGGTCTTTTCCTGGGGTGCCAAACTCCATACTACTATATATGCTAAATACTACTACTACTAATATATATGTTAAATACTACTTCTAATAATACTGCTAAATACTATTACTACTATTAATGCAAAATACTACTAGTGGTAATAATAATAATGCTAAATGCTACTACCACTGCCTATAAATGCTGTCTACCACTACTAATGCTAACTACTACCACTAATAATAATGCTAAATAAACTCCCTTTTTTGAGGAGACGGTTTCAAGGCAGGGTTTCTCTGTGGCTTTGGAGGCTGTCCTGCAACTAGCTCTTGTAGACCAGGCTGCTCTTGAACTCACAGAGATCCACCTGCCTCTGCCTCCCAAGTGCTGGGACTAAAGGTGGGCACCACCAACCCAGGCCTAAACTCCCTTATAGAGATCAAAGTGGCAACAGCTCTAAAACAGTGAGATAAGAATAAGAGTTTCAAAGAAACCCTGTCTCAGGAAAAAAAAAAGTTAAATAATAGTTTGATTTTCCTCCTAACTACATCTTCATGTTATTTTTAAGGAAATAGTAATATCTTGATTTTTTACTGTTTCTCCTTTGGAAAGGAGAGTGCCCCAATCTGCTGGTGGTACTCAGTAAGCAAGGACAGGGCAATAGGTTTGATAGGAGACTAAATCTGCTTTCTATAATTCAAAAAGCTGAAACTGTAGCCTACTTAAAAAAACAAATATTTACTGGGCTGGAGAGATGGCTTGGAGGCTAAATGGGCACCTTTTGCTCTTGCAGAGGGCCTGGGTTCCATTCCCAGCTTACATAACTTTCAACTGTTTGTAACTCCAGGACACCCTCTTCTGATCTCTGAAGGCACGGCGTATATGCAGTGCATACACATACGTGTAAGCAAAACATTCATACACATTAAGATAAAGCAAAAATCCTTTATTTGTTGTGTGTGTGTGTGTGTGTGTGTGTGTGTGTGTGTGTGTGTGTGGTGTGTGTATGCCATAGCATGTATGTAGCAGTCCGAAGACAGCTTACAGAGTAGCTTATCTCCTTCTACTATGTGGGCTCCAGGCATCAAACTTAGGTTGTCAAAGTTGACAGCAAGCACCTTTACCCTTTGACCCATCTCACTGTCCCTGCGGTCTACTTTTGTCTCTATAGCAACCTATACTCACTAGGCAGGAAAAATACTGGAAAATATGATATTTTTGCAATCAAAAGTGAAGCTTATGAAAAAGAGTTGTACTATGATGGTTGAGCTACACAATCAACCCAAACACCCACACACCACTCTATACTGTGCGTGTCATACGAAATACTCAGAATTCCAACCTAAGGAGAATGCAATGAGAAATGAGAGAAACCAGTCTGTTGTTCATAAGGACCTAATTTTATTTAAGGCAGATAATAACACCTTGCAGAGCAGGAACCCAAATACCACTAAGCATTCACACCATATGGAATTTGCGTATGTACATGTTATAAAATACAAGATCCAGAACTTAACAGAAACCTTTTTTTTTTTTTTTTTGCTTCTTTGAAGTAAATTTAACCACTAGATTAGAAGACAGAAAATGATCAGTTAGTCTTAATGATAAAATCTTGGTGAATCATCAACAGGAAAAGGTCTAAGCTGGATGTAGAAGTGAGGCACAGGGTTGCATCCTTGCATCAGGAGGCTGAGGAAAGCAGATCCTGAGAGATCTGTTGTGGAATATTAGCTTAAAATGTGTTACAGTTGGGCCGGGAGGTGGTGGCGCACGCCTTTAATCCCAGCACTCGGGAGGCAGAGGCAGGTGGATCTCTGTGAGTTCAAGACCAGCCTGGTCTACAAGAGTGAGTGACAGGACAGCCTCCAAAGCCACAGAGAAACCTTGTCTCGAAAAACCAAAAAAAAAAAAAAAAAGTGTTACAAGTGGCCAACAGCAAGGCAGGAAGAGGGATAGGTGGGACTGTCAGGCAGAAAGAATAAATAGGAAAAATCTGGGAATAGAGATCGGGGATCAAGAAAAAGACTTCAAAAAACCAAAACAAAACCAAATAAAAAAAAACCCAAACAAACAAAAAACAAAAACAAAAAAACACTGCCAAATGGCGGTGGCCCACGCCTTTAGTCCCAGCACTCGGGAGGCAACGGCAGACAGATCTAATTGAGTTCAAGACCAGCCTGGTCTACAAGAGCTACTAGTTCCAGGACAGCTTCCAGAGCCACAGAGAAACCCTGCCTGGAAAAACAAAACACAACAAAAACCCAAAAAACAAAAACCAACCAACCAATCAAACAAAAAACTACTACATTTCAGGTAACAATTATTAGAAAATGTTAAACTAAGGCCAGGTTATTTATCTGTTAATATTTGAAACAGACATATTAAAAAAGCATGACATAACATGTGGGGGTAAAATATGAAAACATGTTGCAGGTCTGTGGCAGGGCAAGTGCACCCTTTAGGGCAGGTTCCAAGGACCAGCGAAGATCAGAGCACACAAGAATGACCTGGTCAGAGTCCAACCAATACGTGTTGGGGTAAGAAACTATTTTCTAAAGAATGCCAAAGTCTCCAGTTCCCCTTTGGCCAAAGATTTGAGGAGCATATTTTCTTCATATGCTCATCCCTCTGTTGAGATACTAGCAACCTGAATCAGACAACAAACACACATTAAGCATCACTGTCTACTAGGCTCTGTGTCCTGAACAATAAGACTCTTCTTGTTCTACTTATTATCAAAAGTTGCCTGACCTCCTGGACATGTTTCTGTGGGTAGGAAGGGAAGTGTGTTTTTTTTTCCATTCAATTCTGTTTTTAAACTTCCAGTTTACACAAGGGTTTCACTTTCCCATTTACACAAAGGCTTTACTTGTCCAGACAGAGATTAAAAACCAAACAACTAATGTACTACTAGAGAGATGGCCATGGAACAGGATCACAGGTCTTGGGATGGAACTTAGTAGCCTTCGGTTTAAGTCCCAACACCAAAATTAAACCAACCAAAAACAAAAAGCAACAACAAAAAACCCCAAACAAACAAATAAAACCAGGCATGCAGCACATATCTTTAACCCCAGAACTCAGGAGGCTGATGCAGGCAGATCTAAATTCAAGATCAATACAGTCCACAAAGCAAATTCAAGAGCTACACAGAGAGATCCTGTCTCAAGCAAGAGAGGTTCAGTTAGTTGCCAGTGGTTCAAGTGAAAGATACGGAAGATGATTTCATGCCAGTCAGCACGCCATCAGATTTCCTCAAGAAAATTTGAAATCCTTTATCTTTTTCTTTTCTAAAATTTCTCTTTGTGTCTCTCTCTCTGTGTGTACACATGTGTATAGGTGCATATGGAGATCAGAGGGTGATGTTAGATGTCTTTATTTCTGTCCACCTAATATTTGTTTCATTTGCTTTGAGATAGAGTCTCACTATGTAGCCCTGGATGTCCTGGAACTTGGGCTATGTAGACCAGGCTGGCCTAGAACTCCCAGAGATTGCCTGTCTCTGCCTCCCAAGTACTGGCATTAAAGGCATGTGCCACCTGATTTCTTGGGACAAGGTCTCTCAGTGAACCTGGAGCTCATGTGTTTGGTTTTGGCTAGACTAACTAGCCAGTAGGCTCCAGGAATCCTGTCTCCACTCACCAGTACTAAGATTATAAACATATACCATCACACCAACTTTTACATGGCTGCTGCAGGTCTTCACACTTTACAGTCTCCCTAGCCCATGCATGCCCTTTATATTTTGTCTTCCATTAAAAAGTAACACTCTAGAAATGACTGGCAAGCAGACTTCTGCTTTTATAGAAACTACATCTACTTAGCATCGAAAAATGCTACAGTTTTTCTACAAAAAGATTTAGGCCGGTACTAATACACACACTTCTTTTGAAAGTGAATATGCGTCTTCACAGCACTTTTACTACTCAATTCCTTTTGCTTTCAGCTCTTCCTTGACACGTTTCAGGTAATCAGGATCAGGGTAGCCAAAACTGCATGAAGAAAAAAGAATCCTGTTAGCTTCCTCCCTAATAATTCTTAAGTAGCCAGGTATGGTGGCACACACCTTTAATCCCAGCACTTGGATGGCAACAGAAGTCAGATCTCTGTGAGTTCTGAGCCTGGGCCACACAGTGAATCCCTGTCTCAAAACAACAACAAAAACTGTGCAATTTGTGTTTGAGCATCTAGTATTCTGGATTTCAATATCCTCAGTCATCCAGATTTAAATGCTGACTGAGGAGCATCTGTTTTCCAGCCAGATTCTTAAATTCTTAGCTTACTCTAAGTACTGATGCACATAATATTATAAATGCGGAATTCTACAGAGAGGGTAATCATACAATAGTAGGATTTTCAAATCGAGGAATTTGAAAAGGTCTCAGGATATATTTCTTTTGGATGCCATAAGTAGAGTAATTCTGAGTTTTATAATTCAGATTTCCTGGAATACATCTCTTGACATCTTAGGACTCTTTATAACTAAGACTTTTTTCTTGCATGTATCAGTCATGTGAGTTCAGCATCTTTGTGAATTGATGGGAAGACGGGTAAGGAAGAGTAAGATGACCTTAAAAGAAATAAAAGCAGGGTTGGAGAGATGGCTCTGTGGTTAAGAGCAAGGGCTGCTCTTCCAGAAGAGTGGGTTCAATTTCCAACACCCACATGGCAGCTCACATCTGTCTGTAATTTTAGGGGATCTGACACCCTCATATAGACATAAATGTAGACAAAACACTAATGTACATAAAAATAAATAAATCTAGAAAAAAAAGAAGTCAGAACAAATAACTTTCCTAGGATCTACCTTTCAAATCAACAGGAAACTCTAAATCAACTTGGGTACCATTCATCTTGGATTCTAAAACCCCTTTCTTTTGACGCAATTCTGTTGTTGAGACAAGGTTTCTCTATTTAGCCCTTGTTGTCCTGCAAATTTCTCTGTAGACCAGGCTGGCTTTGAACTCAGAGATCTATCTGCCCCTGCCTCCTGAGTACTGGGATTAAAGGCATGCACAACCACCACCGAGCTTTGATGCAAAATTTAATACACAAGTTATACCTTATGAATGGCAGAGTAGAAGATTGAAGGAACCATTTTTTTTTCCTTCAAGACAGTGTTTTTCTGCATAGCCCTGGCTGTCCTGGTATTCCCTGTAGACTAGACTGGCCTCAAACTCAAGAGATCCACCTGCCTCTGCCTCCCACATTCTGGGATTAAAGGCATGCTCCACCACTGCCTGGCTTAGACCAATTTTTTGTCTTTGAAATTGTCATTATGGATTACTAATTTGCTGTGTGTGTTGGCTAGTTTTATGTCAACTTGACACAAGTTGGAGTCATCAGAGAGGAGGGAACCTCAACTCAGAAACTGCCTCCTAGAACGGTGATGGCACACAACTTTAATCTTAGCACATAGGCAGCCTGGCCTGGTCTACAGAGTGAGTTCCAGGACAGAGAAACAGCCTCCATAACTTTGGGCTGTTGGCAAGTCTGTAAGGCATTTTCTTAACTAGTGATTGATGTGGGAGGGGCCCAGACCATTGTCAGGGGTGCCATCCCTGGGCTGGTGGTCCTGGGTGGTTATAAGAAAGCAGGCTGAGCAACTCCTGGGAAGCAAGCCAGTAAGCAGCACCCTTCCAAGGCCTCTGCATCAGTTCCTGTCTCTAGGTTCCTGTCTGGTTTGAGTTTCTGCCTTGTCTTCCCTCAGTGATTGTGATTCAGGAGATTGTCTTTTCACACCCACAGCCTCAAAGGGCAGCATTTAACAATCCTATACTTTGCTCGGCAACCATTACATTTAAAAGGCTCTTACTTTTCTGGTCCTCCAAACGTGGATGTTTTGTGATGGATATCATTCCATGTAATGACGTCTGAGGCTCCTGTTACTCGAGAATTTCCTATTGTGAAAATCAGCTTCTTTCGAAAGGCTTCTCGGAGCAGATCCAAGACTTCTCTTCCCTCCTTATTATCAGGCAAGTATGCAGATCTATGTGTTCCAGGATAGGGCTTTCCTGGGTTTGGGTGCTCATTCTGTATGAAGAAAAGAAAGTATTATATAGATCTTCAGTCTAACACTCTCCCACTTGAGCTATTTTGGCTTGCTCCCCAGGGCTTAACGAAAGTTAAGTTTAGTTATTTAGAAACTAAAGGTATGTTCATTGTAGGTGAAGCCTATTGAAACCAAAAATAAATAAATGAATGAATAAAAAATTACTGTTTTGCTCATATTCTGAATAATTCATAGTTACCCTCTTCAAATTACAATACTACCTACCCAATTCCTCCCATCCTAACATATGATCTCTACCTTTAAAAAGACATGAAAGGCAAGAGGTGTAGCTCACAGAGTGCTTGCTTGGCATGTCCAGGTTCTGGGTTCAGTCCCTAACACTGTCAAAATAGTCTCAAAGGCATGTAAGTTCTAAGAAAACAATATGACCTTTGCTTCTATCTATTATGCCCCTGCCAGCAATCACAGAATGGTTTCCTGGGAAAATCTTCATCTAAAAGGCTTTAGGACCGTCCCTTGGGCGCTGGTAATTGTAGCATAGCAAAAAGAAACTCACACTCCTCAGGCACACTTACTGTTTGGATGCCACTTTTTATATCATAGCGAATCACAATTGTGCCACAGTCTTCATAACCAGGAAGTGACTGTCTTAAAGTGTCAGAAGTCATGGTTCCTCCATCTGGCTGGTTCCCTCTCTGGATACCATAGGAAGTCTGACACACAGGACAGACAGGTTTCAATGACATGGCTTTGGTGATACAAGAAGTACAGAATTCATGCTTGCACTTAGACAGCACACGCTTGTTTCTAATGGTATCCATGCAGATGACACAGTAGTCTTCAGTCTCATTTGCCTTCAAGGCCCCAGAGCTATCAGCAGAGCCTCTGAGAGTAGGTACAGCCGCATTTGAATCATTTTCATCAATATCCATGGGTGTCTCATCATCCACATTTAATTTCTCTCCAGACGATGGGGACAGTCCCATTCTTTTGAAGACATAGTGCTTTGCCTGTGCAAGCTGGTTCGGCAAACCAATCAAAGTCATCGACTCTCGAGATATCACAAAGTGTACATTTGGGTGCTTTTTTTTTAAGTCATCGACAAACTTGGTCTTGTGTAAGTGAGCTTTCCCCTTGCCCAAATGTTTCAGTGACAGGACTTCTGTCCTTAGCTGGCACGTGGCATGTTGGAAGGCATCAGTGAAGCTTGCATAAGAGTGCACGGACAGGTCGATCTCCTTATCCTTGGGGTCAAACTGAATGCAGGTTTTCTGGCTTTTCTCCTGGACTTTCCCGGAAGTGTTGTACTTGCTCTCTATCTCCGAGATTTCCTGGAGCAATTCAGGTTTTAGAAGGTTGAAGTGTGTGGAGTCAACGTCAATCCCTGCCTTGTAACCAGACGCCATTATTTTCACAGGCGTCTTGATGGAAGTTTGGGAGACTTTTTCTGTGGCGGCTGAAATGTCAGCTTGAGAGCCTAGGAGAGTTAGCGTTCTTTCTTGTCCTTTTATCAGGAGCTTTGGGAAGCAGCGATTCAACTCTCGTCTGAGTTCCTTTGCTATCTGAGGGTCCTCTATAGAGACACAATCTTGCTTCAGAGATTGGGTACATTCCTGAAAGTCTCTGACAAAAGACTCACGGGCTGCTTCTATGTTGCCCGATTGGCTAGTGGTGAAGACTACAGAGACCATATTGGGAGTACTATCTCCGACTTGAATGTTTACACCAAATTTTTTCTCTATGGACTCTATTCTACCAGGACAAGCATGTCTGAAATATTCAAGGAAAAGCACGGGAACTTCAAAAGCATCTTGTAATCTGGCTTTTGGTTCTGAGGAGGAAAAGCCCCTGCCTGAGTCTTTGGGAGGCTCTCTCTCCACATCAGAAGTGGGGTAGTTTTGTGGAGGGTACTTCTGTTTCTGCTCACTTTCCAAAAGCTGCCCACTCAAGAAATGATGAATCTTCTCAATATCTTTGAAGTTGCCACACACCTTCGCAATTCCGTCTTTACCCTCCACACTTCTGACACCAGGGTAGACAGTGGCTATGCGTGCCCTCTGCTCTTTAGAAAGCAGTTCACAGTTCAGCTCAGCGGTCACAGCAAGAAAGACCTGGAAGTTTAAAAGGCACAGGTACAAATAATATCTCTCGAATATCAACCCCTCTTCAGAAACCACACAAATGACCATTATCTACAGCAAATTGAATGCAACATAAAAGCACAATATCTAATGATTTGTTCCTAATGGAGGTTTTTGCAGATGATCTTTAATCCACATGGAAGATTCTTTCTCTAGGCTAGAGCTTCAAGATGTTTCCGAAATTCAGCCGCTTTGTCACTCCTCTATCAGGACTGTCCAGAATCTAGGTCATTGTCATCATCTACCTGGCCCACTGTAGCCTCTGACCTTGCAGCCTGGCCCTTTCCTATGATTGTGCATCAAGCCAGCAGCCAGAGTGATCTTTACAAATGCAACCTAGAGCCGGGCGTTGGTGGCACACGCCTTTAATCCCAGCACTCGGGAGGCAGAGGCAGGCCAATCTCTGTGAGTTCGAGGATAGCCTGGTCTCCAGAGTGAGTGCTAGGATAGGCTCCAAAGCTACACAGACAAACCCTGTCTCGAAAAACCAACCAACCAAACAAACAAAAAACCAAAACAAACAAACAAACAAACAAAAACCCCCCAAAACCAAATGCAACCTAGAGGCTGGAGCCATGGCTCAGTGGTTAAAGCACTGGCTAATCTTCCAGAAGTCCTGAGTTCAGGTCCCCCAACTATCTATAGTGGGATCTGATGGCATAAAGTCCTACATGCAGACAGAGCACTCATATACATAAAATAAACAAACTTTTAAAAAAATGCAATTCAGATCCCTCACCATCAGGCTCAAAAACATCAGATAAAGCCACACTGAAGTTCAAATTCTAAGCCCTGCCGTTACAAGTTCCCTTTCAAGTTCCTAGCACTCTCCTTTTACCCACTGCTCGGCCCCCAGCCCCACTTGCCCCATTGAACCTTCAGCTCTTCTGAGGCCTAAGCATGTGTTTCCCTCAGCCTACAATGTTTCTTGCCACAAAACCATGAAGCTAGGTCCTTTAATTTACTTATGTCCTTTGGATGAAGCACCATTGGGGTTTGTTTATTTGTACCCTATTTATGACAGTGGTTCTGTCACTGTCACTTATCCTCCTTTATTCTCCCTGCACTTGTCACCGGACATAAGTTTATTATACATCTATTTACTATTCTTTGTTTTCCTTACTCGATGTTAAGGACCCTGAGAGCAGTCTACTATGTGCCTGCACCTCCAGCCCCTGCCTGGCACATCATAAGCAGTCCCTATCTATTTGTCGAACACATTTTAAAAAATGCCTGGTGACTTCTCATCATTTAAGCCTCAGGCTAAATGTCACCTCAGCAAGCAGGTCTCCCATCTTCCCTTGCCTGCCCTCATGCTGTTCCTCTCTGAGGCAATACTCCATTTTATTCTCCTAGCTTGTCTCTATCTTTGAAGTACTTATCCTCAGTTCATTAACTTGTTTATGGTGTGCTCACTTCCTTACCCCTATACAGGCTGCACCAGGACAGGAATCTTGTCCCTGTTTATTTAACTCTGTAGCCAAGTGCCTAGACCAGTGCCTAGCTCATAGCTAGTGCCTGGCACAAGGCTGTCAGATCAAAACAGACAGAAGCGGTGACCACAGAGGCAGTTGTAGCAATGGTGCTGGCTCCTCTGTCAACACTTACCTTTTGGACAACAGAGTCAACAGAGTTAGAAGCAGACTCTTCATCAGACAGTGGTTCATCCAGAGACTGTGTCAAAGATGGAGGTCTGGAGCTTGGTGTCTCAGATGTTGACTGTGTCAAAGATAGAGGTCTAGAGCTTGGAGTCTCATCTGGTGACTGTGTCAAAGATGGAGATCTGGGTCTCAGGTCCTCCACTGGCTTTTTAATGGTTTCCAGGAAAATGGTCACAGGTTTGTCATCAATCAACATCTTGTGCTCTCTCTTTTTCAGTACTCCCTCCTTAGCTTCAGGGGAGACATTAAACACACATATTCACACAGGAATGAGAGAGAATTTACAGACGACCCTAGTGTCCTCTCTGGGTTGATTCTAGGAACTTCTGAGGACACTAAAATCCACAGATATCCCTTACAGGCTTTCATACAAGCCACCCATATTCTTCCATGTGCTTTTTTTTTTTTTTTTTTTTTTTTTTTTTTTTGAGATAGGGTTTTGCTATGTAGTCCTGGCTGTCCTGGAACTCACTATATAGGTCATGCTGGCTTTGAACTCTCAGACATCTGCTTGTCTCTTCCTCCAAAGTTCGGGGATTAAAGGAGTGTGCCACCATACATGATCTTCCATACACTTTTAAAATGACTTTAGTCCCTCATACAGGGTAAACACTATGGAAACACAGGCAATCTTGCATTGTTTAGTTGGAAGAACCCTAGGAGGTGGGATTGTTGTGTAAATTTCCTCAAGATGGAAACATTCCATCCCGCAGGGAAGCTCCTAAAGCAAGAAGGTAAACAACTTAAAACAGCTTCAGGAAGTCCCTGAAACTGACCAGATTCAGTAGGCTCCTCCCCGATTGAATAATCGATAATGATTGCTCAAAGTCCTTCTGACACTTAACAGAATAGAGATGCAAGAAAGATGCAGAAAAGTGGCTCTGCAGGGGAGATGCTTGTCCAAGCCAAGCTTCCTGAAAGAAGCAAAAACCTGCCCAGCTACCTGGAGGAGGTTTAGACCAACTCAGGCTCCTGGAAAGGACACTCTCACACCTGTTGGGCTGCCTGCAGGCTGTGCAGTGTGCTCCATATTCCAGCTTTGTGAGCTTGTCTGGGCTTTAATGATGCAACTGTCTTTGAGTAATTCCTGCTTTTGTAAGTGACCCTTCACCCATATTCCTGTAAGTAACCTTAATGAAACTCTTGGTTCACCAAGTTAGACTGTTACACTGTATCTGTACTGTGGCGGGATCCCTATCTGAGGCGAGTGGATATGTGTGTTGTATCTCCCAGGAAAAGTTTCCTATCACAATAAGAACAGAGGACCTGAGCAAGTTGTTCCTGTTATCCTGGAATAGCAGGGTTGATGGGAGAAAGTTATTCAGAACTCAAAAGTAGGCAGCTCAAGTTTTACTGTATAACATCATTTGGTTATTAGAAGCCAATTTTCTAGGCATAGTGGTTTACTACCCATAATCCCAGCACTTAAACAGAAGAGGTAGGGGTGGGAGTGGGGGTAGGGGTATCACAAGTTCAAGGTCAGCCAAGGCTGCATAGCAATGGTCTGGAATTTCTCATTTCAATGACATACAACGATATTCACTGTATAGTTAAGTGGTGAAACCCCTGCCAAACCAAGAACCCAAAAGTTTGGAGTGATTTAAATGTATATTCATTAGCTGATTTCACAAAAACGAATACATGAAACTGTTCCCATTGCGTGTCTCCAGGTAATCTTTCTATTGACTTTTTAAAAGTTATCACATTTTATTTTGTAATCCTTAAAAACAAGTCAGTGGAATCACTATGTATAACAGGAAAGTAGCTCTGTGGTGCAGCACTAGCCTAGCTAGCACAGGGCCCTAGGTTTCCGCCCCAATCCCCACCCCCACACACTTTCCTTTCTCCTCTCAAGTCGGTCTGCTGGGAAATTGGGCAACTCAGCTAGCAAATGGAAACCGTCCCTAGGAAACCTGGTCGGTGGCTGGGCCCAAGTAAGGCTCTATCCCCCAGGATAGAGGAAGTTATAGGCGGCAGCGGCTCCTACAGGCAGTGCCACACTCTCGTGGAAGCACGAATGGTTCTGTTCAGAAACTTTCAGGGTCCGCCTCTGCACCCGATCCCAGCCCAGTTCCCCTGTACCGGCTCACCTGCCCTTTCTAGGAACTTCACCTCGAAGGTGTCGGGGGCGTTGGGGCCCACGGGCTGGACAGTGCACTCCCCGCCACCCGAGGCCCGGCTCTGGAAGTATTTCTCTAGCTTCCTGTGCGCCCAGGGGATGGACTTCGGCAGCCGCACCAGTAGCGGGGACGACGGGCAGTTACTGGAAGCCATGGCAGTCCTCGTCTGGATCGAGTGGGGGAATCAGGGACTGTGTGCAGCCAGGACAGAGCAAAGGCGCGTCCTGTCCCAGAGACGGGGCTGCAAAGTTTCAGTTTCGTTTCTCAAGAGGTCCCTCCCTTTTCCTCACAGAGCCACCTTCTTTCTTTCTCTGTGGTCTCCTTTGCCCAGGTGAGTAGTTTGTACCCCGGGAGGTGGGCTCGTGGGGGAACTAATTTCTCCGGGGTCGCAGGTCGCCCTCTTCTCTTGCAAGAGTAGCAGGAACCTGGATGCCAGAGCCAGGCCGTGTAGCAGAGTAGAGAGATTAAGTTTTCCCCATGTTTTGCGCTTCGAAACAATGGTTATGATTATTTTTTCTTTAGATACCTTTCTGAATTTAAGTTACAGTTATCTGGTTTCTTTGCAGTTGAGGGCGTTTACCTGCTGGATGACCTGTTAGATAGGCATTTAGGAGTTTTCTGCTCTAGGTTCGTATTTAGCCAATAGCACAGATCTATTCGCTGTCCCGAGTCCCCAGAGAGTGGGGCAGAGTAAGAACCTATGACGAAAACAAAAGCCAAAGGCCTCCAAGATCTGGTTTCAAGCAGAATCTTAAGGTGAGGTTGGGGAGGGGAGGAGAATACCCCAGACTGGGAGAGCTGTAGTGAGAAGTCTCTAAGGGCTCAGTCCCAGGCCTGGGAGCAGATGAGATGGGGTCAGAGAGGAAGAAGTGTCTTTGAGAATCTATAGTGGTGGCACACACCTTTAATGCCAGGACTCAGGAGACAAAGGCAGATGGATCTTTGAGTTCAAGGCCACCCAGGGTTACATGAGATCAGATCAGTTTAAAAGGGTAACAGAACTCACACCTTTAATCCCAGTACTCATAAGAGGTATTTAAGAAAAGAACTGGGTCTCGGAGCTGGCATTCATTCTCCAGCCATACACTGAGGAGAGGCAGCAAGCAGTCTGGGGCTTGGTGAGATCTGGTAGAGACAGGATCAACCCTTTCAGTGTGAGGGCAATATTCCTGCCTATGTATACCAAGCAATACGACTGGCAACTGCTTTTTTGATCTTCAGTGGCTTTAAAAAATTATAAACAAGCCGGGCGGTGGTGGCACATGCCTTTAATTCCAGCACTCAGGAGGCAGAGGCAGGCAGATCTCTGTGAGTTCGAGACCAGCCTGGTCTACAAGAGCTAGTTCTAGGATAGCCTCCAAAGCCACAGAGAAACCCTGTCTCAAACACACACACACACACACACACACACACACACACATTCAAGCTACCACAGTGTGCCAATATGTTGTCACCACAATTTTCTTTTTCTTTCTTTCTTTCTTTCTTTCTTTCTTTCTTTCTTTCCTCCTCCTCCTCCTCTTCCTCCTCCTCCTTCTTCTTCTCCTTTTTTTTTTTTTTTTGAGATAAGGTTTCTCTGTATAACAGCCCTAGGTGTCCTGGAACTCCCTTTGTAAACCAGGCTGACTGCCAACTCACAGAGTTCCATCTGCCTCAGCCTCTCAAAGTGTGAGCCACCACGCCTGGCTGTGAGGGATTTTCTTCTTTCTTTCTTTCTTTCTTTCTTTCTTTCTTTCTTTCTTTCTGTTTTTCGAGACAGGGTGTCTCTGTGTTGCTTTGGAGGTTGTCCTGGAGCTCAATCCATAGACCAGACTGGCCTTGAACTCACAGAGATCCTCCAGCCTCTGCCTCCCAAATGCTGGGATTAAAGGCTTGGGTCACCATTGCCCGGTGGGATTTTCTTAAATTGGATCATTTAAGGCAAGTAGACCCACCCTAAGTCTGGACCAAACCTGGTAGCAGTGTATATAAAAGGACAAGGAAAAAGGAAGCTGTTGCTTCTTGCCTGCTTGCTTCAGGACAGACAAGTGCACATTCTGAAACAGATGCCCAGCTGTAGCCTTGCAGAAACCTTACAAGTCTTTCTTCTGTGAAAACAACATTGCCCACTGGAGGTAAAGCGGATCATTTCCCTGCAGTCCGTTAGTATCCAACTTACTCAAGGTGTATGACAATGTGCTCTGATGTTGTACAATTTTTCTATTGCAAAGACATCATAAATTGCTCCAGAGACTTCATGATAGCAACAGTTTTAGACCACTGTATTGTAAGTTTTAACCAGGAGTCTGTTCATAATCTTTAGTGTTTATCTACTAGGCTAAAGTCACCATAATATATTTTTACCCAGAGTTTCTGACTTTCATGCAGGTATCCTTAGGTCAGAGTTGTGTTTTACAGGTTCAGGCAGTTTTCTCAGTCTTCAAAGGCCCTGTGGGGAGCTTCACTGCTCATAGGGCTGCTCTTTGTTACCAGTTTGTAAATACACTAATAATGTCAATGTCTGGCTCCTGTCTCACTTCCAAAAAAGCTTTTCCTATTCCAGCCCCCAGAGTCCCCCATCGTCGTCGTCCTGTCCACCCCCTATCTCCCCACGCCCTACCCCCCTCTCCACCCTCCCTCTCCACCCTCCCACCTGCCATCCCCATCCCAACCTCCATCATCCCCCCTTTTCAGGTCTCCTATAGTATATCCTTTTCTTCTTCTTCCTCTTCAACTCTTCTTCTGGCTTTATTTTTTTTCCAAGAAGGGTTTTCCTTTGTAGTCTTGGCTTTTCTGGATCTCTGTAAACCATACTTGCCTGGAACTCAAGAGATCCAGATGTCTCTGCCTCACAGGGCTGGATTAAGGGTGTGTACCTTGTGTGTGTGTGTGTGTGTGTGTGTGTGTGTGTGTGTGTGTGTGTGTGTGTGTGTTTATTAGTCCTTGGTTTTGTGACAGGTTTTCTTTGTACCAGCTCTGGCTGTTTTGGAATTCATTTTGTAGACCAGGCTGGCCTTGAACTTAGAGATCTGCTTCCCGAGTGCTGGAATCAAAGGTGTGTGCCACCACGCTTGGTGGCATATTCTTACAAGATCCTCTCAGCTTTAAAGCCTTTAATATCAGCACACAGGAGGCAAAAGCTTGTAAATATCTGAATTGGAAGCCAGCCTCATCTACATAGCAAGTTCCAGAGCAGCCAAAGTAACATGATAAGACCCTATCTCAAAAACAATAACAACAGCAAACCCCAAATTCCCTTCCCTTTTGGTCAGTGCTCACTGTATTCTTTCTGTTTGGATTCCAGAAATAGATCACCATCTCCAGGACTGACAGACTATACTTGGAAACATAAAACAGTATAAAGAGCTAAAGATCCACGTACGACCTGAAGGATGGCCTTTTACATGGTAAAAACAGAAATACCTTTTTGTCATGAAGTTCAATCTTTGTATGAAGAGTTCTCCCCATAACAGTAAGAAATTCGGGGTCTTCAGCTACAACTAGCATCCTCATGGTTTTTTTAGCCCAACTAGGGGCTGGACAGATGGCTCAGTGGTTAAGAGTGTATATGCTCTCCTAGAGGATCTAGATTTGATTCCTAGCACCCACATGGTGGCTCACAGTCTTGCCTGTAACCTGAGTTCCAGAGGGTCTGATGCCCTCTTCTAGTCTTTATTGGCTCCTAATGCACGTGGTGTGCACAAAGTCACATAATTTTCCCGCTTCGTGGCTAAGAGCACTGGCTGCACTTCCAGAGAACCCAGGTTCAATTCCTAACATTCACATGGTGACTTATTGCCTGTAACTCTTGTTCCAGGGGGTGTAATGTCCTTTTCTGTCCCCTGTGGCACACATGTGACGTACAGACATGTGTTCAGGCAAAATGACCATACATATAAAATTAAATTAATTTATGAGAGTTTTTTCTAGAACCGTGTGAGAAATGGAATATCAAGATATGCTAATATAGTTAAATATGGTGGCACACACCTGTGATTCCAGTAAGTTGAGGCAGAAGAATCACCATGAGTTTCAGGCCAGCCTGAGGTACCCTGTCTCTAAATTCAAAACATAAATAACACAGATGATAAAGGGCTTGTTTATATGCATATGGTCCTGGGTTCAATATCCAGGATCACATAAATTGAGCATGGTAGTACCTAGCAAGTTTAAGGCCAGACTGGGATGCATGAGACCCAGCCTCAGTCACCTCCATGTCATGTGGATTTTCTTCACTCGTTTAGCAGTTCTTTCAGGATGGGTAAGGAGTGATCAAGGAATGAAACCGGGAACAGAGGAAGGCACCCTGGGCAGTAGATCTGACAATTCCCACTTAATGTCTGTGTATGAAATAGTAAATGGAAGTGGACCCTTACAGATGTGAGGCACTGCGGCTGGTGCGGCTCCTCAAGTTTTCTTCCTGGTCCAGGAAACTGCACAAGACTGGAAATTGGAGCCTGCCCGAGCTCTATGACTCATTCTGGCTGAGGCCTTTGTGCCTTTTCAGGTGTTAACCTCCAGCCTTTTATCTTATTCTGAATTCAAAGTGCATCAGCAGAGCATGGTAGTACACACCTATCACCTCAGTCCTGTGGAGTTCCTGCCAGCCTGGTCAATGTAGTGAGTTCAAGCCAGCCTGGCCATGGTGTGAGATAACAGACAAAAAGTGCATTGCTCTCGAAGAGGCATAGGTTCAGTACTTGATGCAGCTTTAGGATTTTTAGTGGTTTAGGCACACTGGTTAAAAACAACACGACAAAAATCAACCGAATAATGAATCTACACAACCAACAACCCAAACATTTCCTCTCCAAACCCCAACCCGAAAACCTGTGCTCTGAGCAGTGCTTTCTCTTTCTAGACTGTGTGTCCTGTCGGTCATCTCTGCTTTTGCAGCTTCCATCTTTTAAAGGAGCCGTTTTCATTTTTTCACAGGGTTCTGGAACAGCAGCTTACACCGAAAGACCAGGTATGATCGCCTCTCTCTCTCTCTTCTCTTATTTAAGAAAGGCTTTGATCAGCTCTTCCCTCAGTGCTGAAGAGGGCACATGGAAGGGGACTGTCTCCCCCTAGGGGCTCAGGTGTGTGACTGCAGGTGAAAGACCCCAGACCCCTAAGGGCCTCAGGATCCCGAGGAGCCCTCGAGACTCAGAAACCAGACCAAGAGCTGCAAAAGTAAGAGGGTTTATTGAACGAATGTGCATTCGAGTGTCAGCAATATTGGGAAATCTGCACACCCCAGCATGGGGTGTAAGCTCCTTATATAGGAAAAAACTGCAGATCAGCATATAGGGAAGGGGCACAAAGTTATTGATTATAAAGTATGATCTCATGTTAGAATAGTCACCCAGGTGTGACCTGCTTTTTTACAAAGGAAAAAAACCACAGAATGTACCCTAAAAAGTCTCCGATTGTCTGTTGGCCAGATGTGACCCAAAAAGGATTGTTTGTCTGCCCTCGGATTGGGGCTAACTTCCTTGTCCTGGGCCAAGGTCTGTGGGAAACTTTTTCTCTCAGCAAACTAAAATCTTTCACAGGCACCTGCTTCAGAGGCACTGGGACAGCTGAAGACAGGTTCTCTTAGGGTTCCCAATGTCCTTTTCTCTTGTCAGCAGATATTAGACTCTTTTCTCTTTTGTTTGTTTCAGAGGGTCTCAGTTTGTAGATCTGGCTGGCCTGTACTCAGATCTGCTCGCCTTTGCCTCTGAGTGCTGAGATCAGAGGTCCACATCGCTTCTCTCCATCCTGTGAGATGCTTCTGACCATAGACAGACGGACAGAATGGGCAGAAAGGGTGGCCAAGAGCTGAAAGAGCCAACCTTCCTAATTCTAGGAGTGGCCCATCTGAGGTTTCTCACGGCACCCATTTTCCTTTCTCGGACACAGAGGCTGTGTTGGTGACAACTCATTGAAGAATAGACACTTCCCCTTAGGATAGTTTAAATCAAGAGCAAGCCTAGAATTGCAATCTCAACTTCTGTTCTTAATCTTTCTGAAACTTCTGAAGTTTGTGGTCTGATGTCTGTCTGTCCTATGTTCTGTCTCTAACAAAGGGCTTTCTGTTTATTTGACAGCACAGATAACACAATATGGTAAAGGAATTAAGAATTTTTTTTTTAATTGTTTTAGAAGGGAAGAAGTTACTTTACTCACCCCAGCGGACCTACAAACAGATAATTTTTTTGGGGGGAGGGGGTTTCAAGACAGGGCTTCTCTGTGTAGCTTTGGAGCCTATCCTGGCATTCGCTCTGAAGACCGTGCGGTCCTCCAATTCACAGCAACCCGCCTGCCTCTGCCTCCTGAGTGCTGGGATTAAAGGTGTGCGCCACCAACGCCTGGCTCAAACAGATATTTTAATCAGATTTTCTCAACCTATATATCTACATGTTGTTTTCAGCAGTTATGAGTTATTTTGTTTAAAGTTGGTTTCAACCTATTGGCTGCTTTCAGCAAATGATTACCACAACACATCCAGGCTCACACATTATTCTGAGTCAGGGACATGGAAGAATCATAGTTTAAGATTAAAGCTATACATTTAGTTTACGTTATAAAAGGGGATTGCAAATGAAGTATATATACTATTGCATATTAAGGTTATATTATTTTCTTTTTAAAAAGATTTATTTATTTATTTATTTATTTTGTAGACACTGTTCTGCCTGCATGTATGTCAGAGTACCAGATCTTATAATAGATGGTTGTGAGCCACCATGTGGTTGTTGGGAATTGAACTCAGGACCTCTGGAAGAGCAGCAATTGCTTTTAACCTGTGAGCCATCTCTCCAGCCCCACATTGTTTTCTTTTCTTTTCTTTTTTTAAAGATTTATTTATTTGTTATGCATGCAATGTTCTGCTAGCAAGTATGCCTACATGACAGAAAAAGGCACCAGGTCTCAGTATAGACGGTTGTGAGCCACCTTGTGCTTGCTCCAAATTGAACTCAGCACCTCTGGAAGACCAGCCAGTGCTCTTAAACTCTGAGCCATCTCTCCATCCCTATCTTGTTTTCTTAAAGCCAAATTTAGAAGGCTGGATATATAATAGGAAAACAGATTGAGTACATAATTTTAAGTGGTTTCTAGATATATTATTAACTTGGTTGCAAGGTCTGACGAAAGTTCAGTTTCTGAAGGCAAGATGGGTTTTCAGAAAAACACATTATCATTCCACAGGTTGTATGGTCCAGAAACTAGATTTTGAGGTAGAGTGAGGATGAAGATCTGTGGCTAGGTGGGTATGGTTGTAATTCCAAGTTTTAGGAGATAGACACAGGAGGATTTACAGAGCAAGGCCTTGTATTACCACCACCAACAACAAAATTATAGTGATAAACCCCCACCAAACTAAAGTCTCTGGCAGCCTGAGGTGTTTATTAGAGATGCCTCCAGGTATAAGTGGCCTTGCTTGACCTTTGATGCTCGGGGTGTTGTCCTGAAAACTGTGACTGGTGCTCAGGTGAATTTTAGTAGTTATTAGATGGAGGCTGTCAGCCAACTAGATTGTTCCTGTATAAACACATTAAGAAGGATGTTAATAACATCTTTTGGTGTGAAATATGCTATAACTTTCAGTGTGAAATATGCTGAAATATGTGATTTTTTATTTTTAAACATGGGGTCTCACTATGTAGCTCTGACTGATCTGGAACTCACTGTGTAGACTGAGTTGGTCTTGAACTCACAGACATCTGCTTGCCTCTGCCTCCCCAGTGCTGGGATTAAGGAAAGGCATGCATCAAAGAGTAAATAATTTTTTTGGTTGCTTGACTCTTGGTTGATTGTGACTGTGAGGACTGGAGTAGGTGCCATGAGGCAGAGGTTGCTGACCTACCTATTGGCTGGTCCTGTGTTGCCCATCTCCCCTCAGGACAGCTTTGAGGAGTGACTCATGGAAGCTGGATACTTAGCTTCTGTAATGACCTCTCTAGGGCTGTAACTTAGCTGAACTGCTCTGCCCTGTAGTAGGGTTAAGCTTCATTGCTAACTAACACACACATTATCCTTTTTTGTTCTTGTTTCCCTGTCTTAGTTTCTTACCTTCTCTCCTGAAAAGGAAGCCCCGGTGTTTTACACTACTTCCACTCTAAAGTCTTACCTCAGAACTCTCTTGTAAGCAAACGTAAACTGAGACACTAAAAAAAAGTGAAGTTATGAATACAGTGTCCCTATATTTTTGATTCACAATTAAGTCATTTTCGTGTGTGTGGGCATGGCATGAGTCTTCCCAAACTCACAATTTTTACATACATTCAAGACATGCTTACCCCTGATACAAGGTTTTCTCACTTAGAGAGTGCTAACTAAATACCATATACAAGACTGAGCCCAGCAAAAAGATCACCATTTCCAACTGTGGGCAACTCTAATTCTTTTGACTTTCTGGCTTCTTACTTGCCAGACCATCCCTTCTGTAGCCCAGGAGGGCATCCCCACCCCTTCTGCTTGCAATGCCCTGTTATCTCTGCTCTCACTGAAATCCTTTGGGTTCCATATTTTCCTCATTTCCCTCCAAGTCTAGCTGGATTGCAGAGTTAAGTTTATGATTATGAAATAAAAACTAAGTAAGAAAAACAACAACAAAAAAAAGACTGACCCCTTTCAAGTGAGTTGGCATTGAAGACACTTAGATGTTCTTGGCCTAATTCCATGTGTGGGTGAAAAGCAGAGTCTGTAAGGAGGGGCGTGGAAGTTCATCTCTCTTCAGAAGTAAGAAACTCAATTTCATAGTGTGGAAAGGAATCATGTCCTTTTCAAAGGAACCGTTCTTCATTGCTTTCTTGTTTTGTCTCTTCTCCTTTTCCAGCACACACTGCTTTTGCAGAACACAATAGATGGCAAAGTCCCATTAAACACAATGTCTTCGAAATTTTAAAAAGTAATGAGGGTCAGCTGTGTAAAGTCCTCCAGAATAAGTTTGGGTGTGTCTCTACCCTGAGCTCTCCGAGGGTAGCAAGAAACAGCGCTCCTGCTCAGCAGGTCTTCAGAAGGATGCTGACCCCTTGGATAGAGTTATCTGTCTGGAAGGATGACCTCACCAGACATGTTGTTGATGCTGTGGTGAATGCAGCCAATGAAGAACTTTGGCATGGAGGTGGCTTGGCTGGAAGCCTGGTGAAAGCTGGTGGCTTTGAAATCCAAGAAGAAAGCAAAAGATTCATTGCCACCTATGGGAAAGTTCCAACTGGTCAAATAGCTGTCACAAGAGCAGGGAGGCTTCCTTGCAACTGGATTATCCATGCTGTCGGGCCTCGGTGGACAGGCAGCCAGACATCTATTGACCTTCTGAGAGCTGCCATTAAGAACACCCTAGACTATGTCTGCATACGAAATACACACATTAAGACGGTAGCAATTCCAGCCCTGAGATCTGGAATTTTCCAATTTCCTCTGGATTTGTGCACACACACAATTTTAGAAACTATCTCACTTTATTTCCAAGGGAAGCAACCCATCAGTTATTTGAAAGAGATTCATCTGGTGAGCAATGAGGACCGCACTGTTGCATCCTTTAAAGATGCAGCGGAAAACATCCTGGGGAAGATGGAGCTGAGCCCCTCTGAGAGTCCAGGAACGACCCCTTCTTCCAATGTGATGCTTCAGATTGGCCAGGGCCAGACTCTCCAGATTGTCCAAGGCTGTATTGAACTGCAAACAGTAAGTCTGCTTTTATTCTCTGGCACTGACAGAGGGGAATCCTGAAATTAATTGTTTTAACTATTTATTTATTTTAATGTATGAGTGCTCTGTCTACATGTATGCCTGCATACAAGAAGAGGGTATCAGATCCCACTATAGATGGTTGTGAGCCACCATGTGGTTGCTGGGAACTGAACTCGGGACCTCTGAAAGAACAGCCAGTGCTCTTAACTGTAGAGCCAGATCTCCAGCCCTGAATTAATTAGTTATGAATATGTTTAAAGTGGAAACCATAAAATGTATCTCATTGGGGTTAAGAATGTGGATGTTGGGGTTAGGGCATCTGGATTGGAGATCACCTTTGTTAGCTCCTAACTCAACTACTTTCTTTTTTCCAGTTTTCAGTCCTTCCTCTGTAAAACATAATGGCAGCCTTTGACATCTGAAAGCTGGAATCAGCACCCAAGAAATACTTCCAGTCATGTGTGGCACATGGTTAATATGGAAGCTAAAATTATTAGGCTATGATTCTTAGAAACCATAAGGAGTTAGAATACTCTTTGATCCCAAAGAACTTGAACTTTGTCTTATGTCTTTGTTGTTTTTGAAGCAGGGGTTTGAAGCATGGTCCTCCTGCCTCAGTCTCAAGCACTAAATTTTTATTTTATTTTTCAATAACACCTTGGCTGTCCTGGAACTTGCTGTGTAGACCAGGCTGGTCTTTTTTTTGTTTTGTTTTCGAGACAGAGTTTCTCTGTAGCTTTGGAGCCTATCCTGGCACTCACTCTGGAGACCAGGCTGGCCGCCACCCCACAGAGATCTGCCTGCCTCTGCCTCTGCCTCCCCAGTGCTGGGATTAAAGGCGTGTGCTACCAATGCCTAGCAGACCAGGCTGGTCTTGAACTGTCTCAAAAAAAAAAAAAAAAAAAAAAACAAGGTTGTGGTGCATGCCTTTAAACCCAGTACTGAAGAAGTAGAGACAGATGGATCTCTGTGAACTTGAGATCAGTCTGGTCTACACAGTGAGTTACAGGCCAGCCAGGGTTGCATGGTGAGACTCTGTCCCCAAAACAAAAACAATAGAGCAACCAAGGCTGGGATAGTATGACTGTTATCTAGTAGAGGATCTTCGTTTTGTCCTCACCACCTGAATCAGGCAGCTCACAGCTCTCTGTGACTCCAGCTCCACAGAATGTCATATCTTGTTCCTGATTTTGCAGGTACTATACTCATGTGTACAAACCCACACAGAGACAGACACACAGTTTAAAATAAAATCTTAGTATTTTATGGGTATAAGTATTTTGCCTGGGTGTCTGGCACCAATGTGTGCTTGGTGCCTTCAGAGGTGAGAAGAGGGCTTTGGATCCCATAGGAGTGGGTTACTGACAGTTGCAAGCTGCCATGCGCTAGCTGGGAACTGAACCCAGGTCCTCTGCAAGAGCCAAAAGTGCTCTTAACCACTGAACCATCTCTGCAGTTTGAAAATAAAGTCTTGGGGCTGTAGAGATGGCTCAGCAGTTAAGAGCACTGGATGCTCTTCAACAGGTCCTGAGTTCAATTCCTGGCAACCAGATGGTGGCTCACAGCCATCTATAATGAGACTTGGTGCCCTCTTCTGGCCTGCGGGGACACATAGACACATACAGGCAGAATGCTGTACACATAATAAATAAATGTTTAAAAAAAAACAAAACAAATTTAATTCCAGTACTCGGGAAGCAGAGGCAGGCAGATCTCTGTGAGTTTGAGGCCAGCCTGGTCTACAGAGTGAGTGCCAGGATAGGCTCCAAACTTCACAAAGAAACCCTGTCTTGAAAAACAACAACAACAACAAAAATAATAATAATAAACAAACAAAAAGAAAATAAAGTCTATAAAACAAAAGAAGCCAGAAGGAACGATCAGAAGCTTGAAATTAAGGAAGTATAATTCACTAAAAGGTGAATGCAATAACAGCATCATCCATATAAGTACATAGCTTCAAAATAGGACAAACAGCTTCATGGTAATGAAATGAATTCTCTAGAAACTCAGTCTCTATTGTGAATCAATTTTGTGGATTTGGGACATTGAAAAAATAATGGGAAGTACAAATTAGTCATTTAAGAAGTAGGGATTTAACACTGAATCCTGTGTTTTCTTCCCTTTTCAGACAGATGTCATTGTTAATTCTGGATTCCTACATGATCTTAAAAGTGGAAGTGTGTCACAGTCAATTGTTAAACAAGCAGGACTTGAAATGGAAAGGGAACTTGACAAGGTTAATCTGTCTTCAGATTACCAGATGGTACTAGTCACAAAAGGATTTAAATTGTCCTGTCAGTATGTGTTCCATGTGGCATGGAAATTTGAAAAAAAACAACAGGTAAGTTCAAAATCAATTTATGTTTGTATGCATGCATCGTCTAAGCAGTTTGTTAAGTTTCCATTGCTTCATTATGTCTATAAAATATTGTCAGATGGAATATCCCTGTCAGAAAACATGCCTGTGCCTGACTGAAAGGCTGAGCAAGTGTGGTTGCTCCAAGTTCTCTTAAGTTTGATTTGAAATGTCTAAGTGTACACACTGCACATGGACACTGAAACAACAGAACCCTTCCATCTGAATGCCAGGTTTGCTCCACAATACACAATGGCCTGTGCTTTCTATAGTGAGATGGGATTCAGCCTTTCCATACTTCCTTTCACAGGTTAAATTTCAGCAGAGATTGGATTCCATACCATTCCAGTCAAATCTATTGCCCATCTATTCCAGCTATGCCTGTAATGAATATTGACTCTCAGCCAACTCCTCCCATAAGACACAAAAATTAGAGAATAGAGGGAGTGCATTCAGAGGAAGAGAGATGTTTAATTCCATGTGCCTTTGGTTATCTTTTTTTGTTGTTGTTGAGATAGTGTCTTTCTTTACATAACTGAACTCATAGAAACCTACCTGCCTCTACTTCCCAAGAGCTGGGATTAAAGGTGTGTGCCAGTCTATAATGGATGAACTTTTATTTCTTTTTTTTTTTTCTTTTTTCTTTTTCTCGAGACAGGGCTTCTCTGTGTAGCTTTGGAGCCTATCCTGGCA